AAAGCTAAAATTATCACCGATCATCAACCTCTTATCTATGTCTTAAGCCATAAGAACACTAATAGTAAAATGAAGCAATGGAAACCATTTTAGAAGAATATAAATACGAACTAACTTACAAACCTGGTAAAACAAATGTAGTTGCAGACGCCCTTTCAAGGATACCAACACAAATAAACTCACTCACACCTACGATTCATAGCGATGAAAGCTCATGTCATAATTTAATCCCTTGTACAGAAGTTCCAATTAATGTTTTGAAAAATCAAAATTTTTTTCAAGATTGACGAAATATCTTCATATCAATTTAAAGTAATTCTTCCAAAGGTTCATAGACAGATAACCGTTTGTAAAAAAAATATGTGCGAGAGACATCCCAATCAACCGAAAATTGCAGAAACTCCATTACTAACATATCCAGGGCACACAGTTCATATCGATATATTCTTAACAGAAGGAAAAATAGTAATGACAGCCTTAGACAAATTTACAAAACGCGCAGTAACAAAAAGCCTAAATAGCAGAGGAATAGAAGACGTCAAGAAACCTTTAAGAGATAGTATATTTTTCTTCGCAGTACCAAAATTAATAGTTATCGACAATGAGGCATCTTTAAATTCAGCCTCTTTAAAATTTATGATGAAAGACGAGTTAGGAATAGAAGTTTACACTACTCCTCCATACAAAAGCCAAGCTAAAGGACAAGTGGAAAGGTTCCACTCTACATTAATCGAAATAATGCGCTGCATAAAAGAAAACGGTGGACACAGAAATTTTGAAGAACTTTTAGAAAGAGCAGTATCTGAGTATAATCATTCAGTTGATTCCACTACACTTAAAATACCAGCAGACCTATTTTTTCATAGAAGTATTATATTTACCCCCGAGGACATTGAAAGAACTAGACAAAGCAACCTAGAAAAATTAGTTGAGAAACAAAGAAAGGATATTGAATACCATAATAAAAATAAGAAAGAAATGAATCATATCTACCAGGACAAATAATATTTGTAAAAGAAAAATGGGAGGTTAGGAACTAAGTTAAGTAAACCCTACAGTAAGGAAATAGTTAAGGAGAATGGAAATAGTACCGTGTTAACCGAAAAAGGACATATAATACACAAAGGTAGAATACGTAACAAAATATGTACTGACATTCTTTTCCAGAATATTACGACCGCTATGCCTGGCGGAAGTTTAGATCCTTGACTACTCAAACTCCCAATTAATAACAATAGAAAAGGGAACGGCTAGACTACAGACAGGAACATTTAGGATAATACACGAAATTGACATAGAAAAATATACGGAACCACTTGACCACTATCTCTTCATATTCCACTTGATAACACAGATAAGAGGCCAACTTAACAATCAGAAAGTAGAAAACAAAATAAAAAGATCAATAAATTTCCTGGGTAGCGCATGGAAATGGATTGCAGGAAGTCCAGATCACGAAGACTACGAAATAATTTCGAATAAAATAAATAATGTCGTTCAAAATAACAATAATCAGGTATTAATTAACAAACTTACAATAGGCAAAATTAGTGAGATAACAAATATTAAAAGTAATATAATTAAAACCATGCAAAATGAAAAATGTTTGGAAATTGAAGCATTTTCACAGCTAAAATACAAATTAGAAATAATTAAGGAAGAAATTTTAAATATTACATACGCAAAAGCCAACATAATAAATTCTTTTATTTTATCGAATGAAGAAATAAATATTGTGAAAGAAGTAATAGACAACGACAATATTCTATATGTAAATTTAGACGAAGCACTCGAGTTTCCCGAAGTAAAAATTGCAACTAAAGACAAAATAATAATTTATATTGTGAGCCTCCCAACCGCACATAATTTATGAAACTTTAGTTATTATGGCAGTAAAAAATAATGAGAGAATCAATAAAATCAATTTCAATACAATTTTAAACTGCGAAAAGGGAATTTATGGAATAGAAAATTATTGTAAGAAATACAATTCCCTACAAATATGCTTAAGCAATAATGTAGTAGATTTAAGTAATGATACTTGTGTAAATAATATTTTAAAAAGTAGTTTGCCAAACTGCACGGAGGTCAACAACCAACATATCCCAACCTAGAGGAAATGCGACCCGGAATAATACTACTAAATAGGTGCAACGGAGAAATTTCAATAAACAACGAAATTACATTTTTAAACGGGAAATTCATCATTTTTTATACCAACGTAACCATTGTTATCAACGGGAAAAAGTTATATAATGAAGAAAGAACGGCAAGTTAACCACTACCAGCCATTCTACAACCGTCATCCGTACCACTCAACATAGAAGAATTCCTCTCGCTAGAGATGCTGAAACAGCTTAAATTTAACAATACGAAAGAACTAAGTCTGTTAGAAGCAGCAAACTAATCGTCATTTTAATAGTCAACGCCTTAATTTTCGGGAGGAATCTGCTGATGAAATAAAAAAAGATGAACCCATTAAACTGCCACAACCGGCAATAGAAGGGACTCAACCAAATTTTCAATACACCAAAAGATTCAAACGTGGACGTGGAATTTCAAGGGGGGACTAGTTAGCATCCGACACATTCAAAAAGTATCATATGATGCATTAATATCATATGCAAAATAGCAATATAATATGACACCACTAAATCGCTGAGAGTGCGACACGTGTAGTGGGCACCTGTGGGAAGGGCAGCGTCAGCAAGCTCCCTACCCGTTGCAGCGGCAAACATAGGTCTAGAGTTAAGTATAATTAATTGTAAACTTTAGTTCTTAAGCGAAATTCAATAAAGGAGCATAGCTCCCGAAAAACATTCTTGTTATAAAAACTAAGTGAACGTTTTTTAACTTATATAACTCTGTATCATACTTCATTAGTTTGAGGTGAGACAAATAACCGTTAACAAAACCGTTATACTCTATCGCAAATATTGCGATCAGTTTTAAATTGTAAAAATAAGCAGATATTATTTTCCCATATCGTATTAAAGCTCCTTATAAAGTTATCTAAATATTAAGTCATATAGTCTCCGATAGATTAAGCGTGAAATTCGTTATCTAATCACCCTTGAATTACGAGTTTAATTAAGTTGTTTTAAGTAATCACGTTTCGTTATAAACCTTAGAAAATCATATGTATAATCAATCATATTTTCATACTTAGTGCGAACTTTGAAGGCTTAGGTACTTCTAATAAGAAGTGTATTAAGAAGAAAATATTTCACCTCAATTAAGTGGACATTGATCGCAATGAATGCACCACTTCAGTTGGACTCAAAATTTTGCAATTGTTCATTTTTAATGGAACAGACATGGAAATTTCTTTGTTTAAAGTTTATTCATGTATCGCTGTAGTTCTGAAGCTACAGATAAGGAACCAGAAGGATACACAGTTTCATGGACATATTTAAGTAATATAAGAAAAACTACAACTATTTTCATCTTACGCTACCATATCTTATGCGTGTATGGTGTTCCCAAAACCACACTCTTTACTTTGATATTATTACAAAAAATTTCATTCTAGCTTTTAGCAATTAAAATAAGAATAGTCTTCACTTTTGAATCACAGCATTTATGGAAAGTAATAGAAAAATCGTTATAAATATTTTCATATTTCCTTCGTTCAACTAAACTAACATCTCTGTCCCTTACTGAATAGTCCTACAAGTATTAAGGCGTTACATGGGGTTCAACGGGCAAAAAACAACGTTTTTTTAAGCAAATTTTTTCTCATATAAGAAATGATATTCCGAAATTTGAATTCTGAATTCTAAAATAAGAATGTCAATGAAAATTTCGCGATATTTTTTTCAAATAGTTATAATCTAAAAAATCTTTCGTTCAAGTCTTTAATTCAGAAACCAATTGTATCTCAAAGGCGTGTGTAAAATTTCATGAAGAACAGCTGAGTAGTTTCCGAGCAGACTTCAAACAAACAGTTTCGAGAAAAACGTGTTTAAAGACGGCGCCCTTTGATAGCTAGCTTCGAGCGCACAAATTATGCGAAACTATTACTCGGATCAACTTTAAACTTATAAAAATATCTTAGATGAATTGTAGAATTTAATAAGACAAAAAAAAAAGTTCTATTTTTTGAATCCCCTACACCCATATAACCCCTTAACCATTCAGAAACCATGATATGCACACTTCAGACGGGAATTATTTACGGATTTTATTTTCACACGTAAAACAAGAATGCAAAACAGTCTTAAACCCTTATCTAACAGCTACAATGTAGTAAAACTATGACTGTGAAATATTGAGCTATTGCTTACTTCAGGTAATTATAATGGTTCAAGTACCTGCTTTAGAATATACAGTTGTATATTTGTAATGCAGTTGCTCTATAACTTATATGAAGAATACATTCGCATGTATTCTTACTAATATACATAAATATATATACATGTGTGCATATGTGTATGTGCATTTTTGCGTACACATTTGTAGGCATGTGAGTTTCGACATTATCTATTTTATACTATTGACTTATTATGAGTCTTAGACATGAACACATGCACAAATGTATAGACAAATAATGCAAATATCGAAAATTGCATTCGAATTAGCCGGCACTTGAGCAATTGGCGCTTTTATAACTCGGAAGTAGTTATGAACATTTAAAAGCACCTGCTAAGCTACTAGCGTATAAAAAATATTTATTTATATTCATGTAAATATACACATATGTATGTATGTATTGGCTTTGAAATGATTGTATTTACGTTTATAAATCTGTAGACATTTTATAAATGGAAATGTCGACCTTACTCATACATATATATGTATGTATGGATATGGGTATCAAGTAAATGATTTGTTACTTATAAACTGTCAAACGTAGTTTCACTCGACGCTTCTATGTATACGCATAAAGAATAATAAATAATAACTGTAATTATTTGTGAGACAAATTGTCAATTACAATTCCGTTCAGTCATTTAGCGGGCAACCTTGACTCAATACGACTGTCAAAAAGCGCTGATAATGAAAACTTTAAAGCATAAGAATATGTGGCCGATGTTTGAAGTATGACAAATGTGTATGAAATTTGAACATTCTGCTAAGAACAAATATTACGTCCTTATTTATGAAAATATTGAATGTGCTTTTGTTTTTAAAATTATTACATATCTCATATTTTGATAAATATCGGCTTGTTGTTAGTTAAAAATTAGTTATCCATTCATTATTGGGGTTCTGCGCACATTTATTATTAATTTTTACTAAAAATCAAACTTGGAGATATCTAGATTTACAATCTACAAAATATCCAGATTTTTGTGCCAATGGAAATTTCTCATTTGGTTAAAAAGTTATTCGCTTGAGCTACCCAGAAACCGTGATGTCGGCAAAAAATTCGGGAATGTGAATAAGTGGGTGAGACATCTATTATTTTTTCAAAATGAACGTGAAAAGATTGTTTTCGTTACATTTGTAAAAAATTACGAACTTAGTATGAAAAGTGAACTCTTTGTTGGTCCTCAATTGCGGAAATTCATCAAAAAATACAGATTTTAACAAAATTTTGACTGTTCTGGAAAGAATATTCAATCATTCGATATAACCATCATTTCGATACATTTTTGGGTATTTAAGATAATTATGGTGAGAAACAGAGAAAAATGTTCCACAAGGATCAAAAGTTTAATTGGTATCAAGGTTGGACCGTTACATTATGACAGATTACTTCTGATACTTAAAATGATAGTGTTGATATCCGTGTTCACTAGAATTGTCTTCTAAACTTTAAGCGCGTTTTTCTCGAAACTACTTTTTTGATGTGGTTGACATGATATCTCAAGTTCTACTGAACCGATTCCCTTGAAATTTGGTATATATCTTCTTTATGCAATGCTCTATCGTGTCTGCCTTGGATTTCCATTTGAATTTTATCATAGTATTTTTAAAAAATTCGAAAGGTCGAATAAATCGGGTGAAACTTTTTTCACGCCAGTTTGTTATTTTCATTTTTTTTCGAAAATGGTCAACCCGATAACGACATCCTTACTAATGAAGAATCTTCTTGTTTTTTGTGTTTTAGATCTCTACAAGGGTTGAAATCACGTCAACCAGGACGCACCGTTTTGTTTTTTTGAAGCCCCCACTCCACCGGACCGTATCTCGACGAATTTGGGGGTTGTTTTTGAATTTTTTTTTATATTAATAAAATTTTAATAAAAAAAAGTATTAAAAATGGATGGTAAAATCTTTTTCATTTTTTTTTATCTTAGTTTAAAAAATGTCAAAAAACTCATGCGTCTAGACCAGAATACTTCCTTAAGGACAAATGTAAACAAAATAAATATGCGTCACAAAAATTTGTACACGTAAAAATAGGTATTTGCAATTTGTATCAAAAGCACAATACAAAAGAGAACATTTCATTCAACAAAGCCTTGAAACAAACTGTAACTGTAGCAGAAGAGCAACTCCTCCAAGCTACGGGGATAGATGTTGCAGTAGAAGTAAAAGTCTTGAGAAACGAAAAATCTTGAGAAATGTACGAAGAGGTACATAAAGCAGATATGCAAATAAAAGCTGTAGAGTTGCAGATTAAAACCTATGAGCTTGATATTTTAAAGAGATTATATATTATGAAACTAACATATAATTCCAAGTTCCTGTTTTTATTGAAAATATATTTGTTAACACAAAATATGTATTCAAATGTAGTTTAATTTAATTATTATCTAAATACAGCATAATATGATCTCTTTGATGACCAATTTAGTTAATTGACTCTCATTTCTCTACCTATTTCTGTATTATAATTTTCATTTACAAAATATCTGCAATAAGTTGAATTTTTAAATTGTATACAGATGTTATGCAACGCTGCACATATAATACATTGCCGAACTTTGCAACCTTTTCAGTACTGCGCTTGATAAATTTTATTTCCGATAGGATGAAAGTAAATTCGTCTTTGGTCAGTTTAAACCGCTTCCTGAATCCGTAAATGATTTAAAATAATATCTATACCAAGCAAATGGTATAAGTAAAAAATTTCTTACGCTGCTTCAAGAAGCGCCATACTTCTATCACGAATCCTGAACCTTATGGCCATTTGGTGATGCTTTTGGGAAGACTTTAGTATACCGTCCCAGGATTTCGGGAATAAAATGAATATGGATAGATTCTCCAGATCAGGAATTTATATAGTTAAACATATATATTATAGTTAAGCAGGAAGCTTATAGTTTTCGAGATATTCGCGTTTAAAGTTAAAAATTACCACTATTTGAAGTATGTATTTTCTCGATATAGAATTAATTTTGCATTTTTATATCCATTAACACTTCACTAATTCGTTTGTACACATTTATTTTATATAATATAGTATAGCAGTAGTTATATTATATGTATAAAAAAACACGTTAGGGCTCATTTTATTGTATGCAAAAATTAAATTTAGTAAATTTATATACACTTTATTACACATATTGTATAAACGTACATTGAATATTTACGTTCAATTCCAATTCAAATACTTTTTTTATTTTGTTTAGTATCGTACTTCAATGTATTCAAAAATGTCATTTAGAGTTAGACTAGAGAAGTTATTTCATAAAATTTCTATTCGTTTCGTATCGAGTGCACTTGATATGATTACTTGCTCACTCATGACTGAATCGATTCGGGCCCAGATTATTTCATTTTCATACAGAAACAAGTACTCCAGAGAACCTCTTAAGGCCAATTGTAGACCTGAATGATATCGGAAATGCACAATCAAATCTGGTTGTTGAACATTGCTTGCCAGTCATCAATAACATGCCTATAGATCCAGCACTAAAGCGCAAGAGGATAATGGAGTATCGACTCTGTTCCCAATCTGATGATATCGAGGTAAGGGCGTACATATATCAAACTCATCGGCTTTGCAATTTTCGGTCAATCCGTTTTGATGGGCATCGAAATATGTCGAATGACAAAGTAGCTTGATGCTATGGGCAAGGAAGTTAGACACGCTTTTACTAGTCTGGAGCGCACTGCCAGTAAGCCCAAGGTATGTATAGTTCGTAATATTCCAAAGCATACTTTTCTAAAGGAAGCTGCCTTGAAGTAGACCATCTACTGCTACCTTGTCGCTTGATGGATGGAGAGATTCTGCCAAAAAATTCTGTTTCTTATCCTTCCGCAAGGCTTCGATGCCGCTCTAAAAAAGCTTTCAACATATCTTCTGGGGATATAGTGTAGGTCACCTCCAAGTTGGAGCATCCTTGGCAACGCTAAATGACCTGGGGCTTCACGACCTTTCAGCTCCTGGACAACCTTAGCTTTGGAACGGGTTTTTGATTAGGATTAGCTATACAGGATTTGATAGAACTGTCTGGTGGTTCCGGCATTCTGACATCTGTACGGTGGATGATGGGATGACACTCATCACACATGACTGATGGATTCATGTTGCAACTGCCCCCACCCCGTTAAAACCCTAACAGGCCTAAGAGTACGGGAGATCTATTATGATACCCCCGAGATTAAAATTCCCTCTCTGAACCAGCTCCAAAAGCAGAATTTTCAAATTTCCATCCGCGACGAAATACAAATCTATCACTTAATGTGTTTATAATATTATTTCCTATATGTTAATAGAATTTAGTAAAAGACAGCGGCTACGCTGGCTCGGTCATGTTGTCCGGATGGACGAAAACGCTCCAGCTCTGAAAGTATTCGACGCAGTACCCGCCGGGGGAAGCAGAGGAAGAGGAAGACCTCCACTCCATTGGAAGGCCCAAGTGGAGAAGGACCTGGCTTCACTTGGAATATCTAATTKKCGCCACGTAGMGAAAAGAAGAAACGACTGGCGCGCTGTTGTTAACTCGRCTATAATCGCGTAAGCGGTGTCTACGCCAATCAAGAAGAAGAAGTTAATAGAATTTTTCAAATCAAAATAATATACTACTTCTCCTAAAATATTCTCCTATCAGCACGTGCTCTGTACGAATACTTCAATAAACGCGCCCATTGTTACTGTAGAAGACATTTTACCTAATTTAAATAACTAAACCACCTTTTAATTACGAACCTCAACCTTTATGCTCCCGAGAAGTAATGCCGATTATATATATTTGCTATTTTGAATAAAAGTGGATTTAAGTCAAATATTGAAAACTATAAGGGTATTGAAAAACTATCAGCTATGTGAAGCTATCATTGTAGACCATATAACTTATCAATGTCTCCATTAATTTCTTTTTCTCATTTCGTAAATGGAAATCTGCTTTAACAATTGTCCTTGAATTTGTAATCTTTTGGTTTTAGGGAACACAAGTACGCTACACACTAACTTTAGCAAAGAGATTTACTCTTGACCCTTTTAAATAAGCTTGAACCAAAATTCTTCTTGCAACCAAAATTTCTTCAATGGGTATGTTCTGATATTTCTTATAGAACACAACGAGGTATATTTGAGGATACTCTTTCACATTCAATTATTGTCTCCTCAGGCGTTCCGCACAATATTTACGATATCTCTTCTATCCTAGAATTCTCAAATATTTTATATATACTTATATATATACTTCTTATATATATACTTTTTAAGTCAAACACTTTAATTGATAATAGTTGTCTGGTGCAAACAGACTTAAACAATTTGGTTGTTTGGAGTGACAGAAATAATTTGACATTGAATCTCAAAAATGTTCGAAGATGTCCTAGATCTCAGTTTCCCTCTCCTCATGTAATAAAATATTATTTATTAGAAAAAGTTTTTACCTTTGTTGATTTGGTAGTTACCATGCACCTTATGTTTAATTTTAGCCTTTTGATAGCAAGTGTTGGTATTCTTAATTTTGTTAAACGTCGGTCTAAAGAATTTAGAGATCCGTAAGTTACTATAATACTTTTTACAACTTTAGTTAGAAACTTACTAATAGTACGTTGGAATATTACTCTGTTATATGGAACCCTAGTTACCAAATCCATTCTGAAAAGTAAGAGTTAGATCAAAAATAACTTTTTTTTCTTCTTGGGATTCTAAATTAAGTATTCCTTTACACAATAGTATTTTAAAACTTTTTCTTCCTTTCCGATGTTAATTAAAATTTCGCTTAAAAGCATGTTTCAAACATTTTGAATATTAAAGCATTGTAACCGAAAACAAAAGGGAAATCCCAATTTAGTTTACACAAACTGTTCTATTCAATTGATATATAATTTTTTCTGGCAGCAATATAAAGCGTCTATTTTTGCAAAACATCTGGTAAAGTGTTTAAGCTTAGCTATCGATCAGCTGATCACCAAACAAGTTTTGAGTACGTGAGTTGAATAGTAATCCAGTTTCCGGGCGCATTTGGGTGGGATCGCTCTCTGTGCTGTTATGGACATTTTGTAAATGCTCTGTAGAAAAGCGAAAACCCGCAAGCGAGTGCACCGCGAAATCACCAATCCTAGTATTTGTTTATTTTTATTTTTCAAAATATACCGATATAAATATACTTATATCAAATTCCCTGTGAATCAAAGTTGCGGCAGAGTTTAGAGCCTCTTCTGTACAACAAAGTCTTAACCGAGCTAAGAACAAAAGCTACCAATAATTATATTTGGATATCTATAGATGATACAACAGACCTATAGCAATGGCTGGTCATGAACTTTATTCTCGTAGTATTGATGAAGTTATTTATTCAATGTTGCAACTGTTGATGCTGCCAATGCTACCGCTGTAGACTCAATTCAGGACGTCCACTTACTAGTTCGTATACTATCTATTGCGACCAATTTCAGTGCAGGTATTCAATACAACAAAGTCCCACTAATTGTTACGGATGCAGGATCATATTTGCTGGCTGCTGCTAATGCTATTCAAGTTGTATTCCCTAAGATGACGCATTTCACATGCCTTTCGCATGGATTACATACATAGACTAGGAGAGTTTGTGTGGACACAGTTTTTTACTGTTAAGGGTTCCACTTCAAATATGAAAAAAGTATTTTTAAAGGCAAAGTGTTGATGAAATATTGTTAGAACATTTAACTTACTTTAATTTTGAAGGCTTACAATCCTTATTGTAGGACTCGAAACCCGAGGTGTAGAAATAAAAGAATCTATCCGCCTTGTCAAAGAAGTACGAACCTCGACATCTACTTTAGAAAATAAAGCATATTTTGAAAATACCCCCTTAAGGAAGGAAGTGATATTTTGAAATAAGGCAACACATTCATACGTGAAGAAACCTTTTTCCAAA